TAACACCCAGCCCACTCTCAACATGCCCATGAAAGCTCTGGCATCCCTTTTCCTGCCTCCAAGCTGCCAGGTTGGCTCTGGCCTGCGTGAGCAGAGCTGCAGCCTCCGGCTCCGGAGCCAGCGGGCTCCGATCCCGCTGGTAGGGAAGGCAGAGAGGCGAGTTGTTGTTTGAGGCCGTCATGTTGTAGCAGCAGGTCCGAGCTGTGCCCGGTTCTCTCTGGCAGAGGCCACCAACGGGACCGTGCCGCAGGGTCAGCGCCCGCCCCCGCGCATCAAGAACTTCCAGATCAACAATCAGATTGTGAAGCTCAAGTACTGCTACACGTGTAAGATCTTCCGGCCGCCCCGCGCCTCGCACTGCAGCATCTGCGACAACTGTGTGGGTGAGTGCTGCTGGCCTGGCCCTGCTCCTCACAGAGCCTTGGCACAGGGACAGGCCAGCGCCCAGGCTCGTGCTGGGCAGCTCTGGGCTGGTGCAGTGTCCAGGCTGCCTCGTCTTGTGCTCGAGGAGCTTGAGGTTTCCTCAGAACCTGGAGCCAGGTGCTTCCTCTTTGCCAGGACTTTGGCAATAATCGAGTCCAGCTGCTCTGTGTACATGTGCAGCCCATTTTTTAATCCCACTGGAGTCTGGCCTTGCAGGACTGGAGGGTTCCAGTGGAGAGTTGTGTCTCAGGTGACAGCAGCTCCTTCATCAGCACAGAGATTGTGCCATTCCCTGGGGTGCCCTGGTTGTTGTCTTCTTTCTGTGTATGTAACTCTTGTTCAGCTCATGTTCAGCATCACTGCTCCAGGCAGAAATCCTGTCCTTTTGGACCCCTTTCCTCCTCTTCAGATTCCCAGCCTTTGTGTGTTTATGCAGTTTCTTGAACCTTCTCCTGATTATTCCAGGGTAAGAACATGGGGACTCCCAGGCCTTCATCTAACCCATGTGCTATGGCTGTTGTACTCCAGGGAGAGAAGACACGTGGGGGGTCAAGCTCAAATTCTCTATTAATGTGCAAAATGACTCATTATAAAACAATTTTGGACTTTTTGACCTCCTGAAAGGAGGCCAGGATATGGGGTCCTGACTGAGCAGATGGCTGAACTTGGCAGTTTTTGTCAGCCTGGGGGATTTTTGAAGTGGGAGCCCAGGGGCAAGGATCTAGACATGGGCAGGCCCATGCCAGGGCAGGGCTAATTTTCATCTTGGCTTCCCCAGAGCGCTTTGACCATCACTGTCCCTGGGTGGGCAACTGCGTGGGAAAGAGGAACTACCGCTACTTCTACCTCTTCATCCTCTCGCTCTCCCTCCTCACCATCTACATCTTCACCTTCAACATCGTCTACGTAGCACTGAGTGAGTCTGCACGGAGAGCTGGAGACCAGGGAGGGAGGGAGGGGGGGGGCTGCAGATGGTGGTGTGAAACCAGAGAGAGGGAGTGGGAAAGGGAGCTGGACTCAGTGGGATGTTCCAGGTGAAAAAAAATCTCTCTTTCTGTATTGCAGAATCTCTGAAGATTGGGTTTCTGAACACATTGAAGGAAACCCCAGGGACATATCCTTCCATGGTCCCAAGGGCTTGACTTCTCCACAACTGGGGGTTAGTGGGAGCTGTATTGTGGAGTGGCTGCTTAGGCCACTCTGAGTCTTTCCAAGCATTTTCCCCTGGATGACAATGTGGGGAGCAGTTTCTTGGCTCTTGGGAGGAGAATAAAACAGAAAACAGTGGCTAGGAGAGGAAGAGAAGTTGATGTTTGTGGGGGCAGTAACAGGTGGGGTGGGCCTGCTCTCAGGTTGTTCCCAGTCCTTAACTGTTCTCACTGTACTGGAGGTGCTCATCTGTTTCTTCACGCTGTGGTCGGTGGTGGGGTTAACTGGGTTCCACACCTTCCTGGTGGCACTGAATCAGACAACCAACGAAGACGTAAGTGGAGCCTTCCTCTTCCTCTGAGCTGTTGGTGTTCCTCAGTGTGTCAAGGCTGAGGAGAACACAGGGATCTGGGGGCTGGGGCAGGGTGGCCTTGGAGTAAACCTGAATTTGTGCCCAACTATTTCAGATTAAGGGGTCCTGGACTGGGAAGAACCGTGTGCAGAATCCCTACAGCCACGGCAACATAGTGAAGAACTGCTGCGAGGTGCTGTGCGGGCCCCTGCCCCCCAGGTGAGCTCCTGAGGGGCCTTGACCTTTGTCTTCCAGCAGCACTTGTGCTGGGAAGAGAGGTGGGATGTGGGGAGATGCTGGTCTCTGATGGCGTGCCGGTGTTGTTGCAGTGTCCTGGACAGACGGGGCATCCTGCAGCAGGAGGAGAGCACAGCTCAGGAGGGGCCGTGCCCGCGGGCACCCGGCACGCAGGAGCCCCCGGCCACTCAGGGCCCTGGGCAGGCCCAGGAGGGTGGCACGAAGCAGCAGGACGGCAGCATTCTTCCCCCCAGTGCTGTGAGTGATCCCCTTGGGAGCTGGGGGGCCTCTGGGAGAGTGGAAGAAAGCTGAGAGTGTGACTTAGGGAGGACAAAACCACGCGAGGGGCCATGTGAGAGGCTGCTGCTGAAAAGCTTGTTTGCTCTGACCCTGGAAACCAGTGTCTTGGTTTCCTTGAATTTCCTAAAAGGTGATCACAGCTGGCTGCTGTTTTGGAGATCAGTTCTACAATGAGAGCACTCGGGAGCTGTTGCCCATGGAGCTCAGTGGGGCTGGGGAGGGCTGAGAGGTTGCAGACATCCCCCTGGGATCTCTGTCCATGGATAAAGCTGTTGTGGCCCTGAGCAGTTTGCTGTGTGTTTGAAATTATCCCGCATTAAGGACACAGTTTGACAGGAGACCTCCAGAGTGCCCTTCCCACCTAAATTATTCCATTAACATGGTGGGAAATGCCTTGGCTTACTCCTGCTTGGGCATGAGCTGCCCTTCCCTGGTGGACACAGTCCAAGACACCTTCTGCTGGAGCAGTCCAGTGCTCCAGTTCTTCCTGAAGCTGCTGTGCTACCTGTTGGGTGACCCTGATTTGGGTTTCTCATTTTCCCAAGCCCACCTGAGCTTGCTGCAAGTGGAGCTGGAGGTGGAAGCGGAGCGGTGGGGCCTGTGTGCTTCGGCTCTGCCCTGGGGTGTCCCTACAGGTCACTCTGTGCTCTCTCTCCAGGTCCCTGCCCCATCTGTGAGCGACACCGAGATGCCAGAGGAGAAGCAGCGAACGCCTGGGGAGCTCCCGGTGCCCCCCCTGGACGCTGGGCGAGCGCAGCACTAGCATCTGCTTGGAAGGGAGAACTTTGTTGTTTTGTCTAATCAAAGCTGGAAGTGGTGGAGGAGAGGAGAAGGGCTGGATGGCAGGCACCTGATTCCCCATGGCCATTTTGCTTTAGTCATCACTCCCCGCGGTGCGGGCAGCGCCGGCCTTGGCGGTGGCACCCCCGGTCACCGTGGGGCACAGCCAGCACCAGCTCTGCCTGGGGCCGGGCCTCTGGCTCTGGGGGCTGGCCTGGATGCTCCATCCCAGCTCAGGGCTGGGGCTGCCCCTCCGCCCGGGCCCTGCTCTGACGGGGCGAGGCTGTCAGGGCCAGCCTGCGCCCTCCTGCTGAGGAATCCCCAAGGAAGGGGAAAGCAATGGTGGCAGCAATGTCCTCTCTCCCCTCCTCCCTCCTTCCTGTAATCCGTGGCGTTGTTTTGTGGTTGGCGTGGCAAGGCTTGTCAGGAGACGTTTTGGTGCCCCAAGATCCCAAACAAGTGGGAAGGAGTTCTGCTGGCAGTGGTTTGTAGGTAGCTGTCTTCCTGTGCTCCTTTCTGTGTGATGTAACAAGGCAGCAGCTATGAGGGGACCCTCCTTCCATCCTGCCCTGGTGCTCACACCACCCTGGGCTTCGAGGGAGGGAGAAGGCAGCCAAGGTGGGCAGCTGCAGGGAAGGGTTTGCCTGTGTGCCTGTGCCACTGGCTCCTGGCTGGTGCTGGGGCTGCGTTTGTTCCTGGGTGTCTGCACTGAGCCCTCCCCAGCTCTGCAGCACCTCAGCCCCAATCTGTGTTGTGTCATTGCATCCCCGTGTCCCCCCCCTTGCCTTGCTCTGCTGTTCTCAGCCATCCTAGACTGGCTTTGGGAGCCTTGGATCTTCCCAGGATTGTAGCAGCTGCCCAGGGCTGGGATTGTGTGTCCTCAACAGAGGATGAGAGGCTGGGGGGATGGTGGGAGAGCTCTGTGCCGTGGCTGGGCTCCCCCACTCCACAGTCCCTGTCCTGCACTGGCAGGACCCTCACACCTCTGGGATCCCTGCAGCCCCTTGCAGCTCCGTGTCCCTTGTCACAGTGCTGGGCACTCGGTTCCTCCCGGCAGGTGTGTGGTGGCTGTGGGGGCTGTCCTGCCGGCCCAGTCCCGTCTGTGTGTCCGTGATGCTCCTGGCTAGCGGTGAGGGCTGTGGTGTGAGCGTGGCCCCGGCACTGCCCCCTCTTCTCCTGGGTGGGAGGGCAGAGCTGCCACAGCTGCTCCCCGTTGGAATGTGGCTGGGAAGGAGCCACGGCCCCCAGCCAGCCCAGCCCCATCCCCATCCCCTTCCGTCCTCCGGGGACAGGGCTCTGTGCCCCACCCCGTGGGAGTCGCCCCAACACGCTGCTGACCAAGACTCCAATTCGGTGCAGAAAATTGTGTATTTTGGCTTTGCTGCTCCCTGTTCCATGAGGTGTGTGGAGTTCTGCCTGCCGGGACCTGCCTGCACGGGTCAGGATCTCCAGAAGGAAGGAAGGGGGTTGGGTGAGGGCTGGATGTTCTTTATTTTTTTTCTTCTTATTATTTTTTTTTAATTTTAAAACAATGAAGGAAACTTAATTGGTTTGAAAATGGCTGAGCTGTAGCCGCTGCGTTTCTGTGCTGCCCCAAGCCAGCTGCCTCTTCCCTCTTCCCTGTGCATTTCCAGGACTCTCCATCTCACACTTCCAGGGTGTCTTAGCTGTGTTATTTGCATCTTGCTGTCCCCCATGGCAGGTGTGGGGGGTGTCTCTGTGTGTCCATGCTGAGAAGTGACAGTGTCCTAGGCAGGCTTCACTTGCCTGCACACACATCTTCCAGCCCCAGCTCCCTTCCTGAGCCTGCTGGCAAACCTGGGGAAAGCAGCCAATGCCTGCGGTGTCTTGGCGGGGAGTGCAATGCCCCGGCATGCCCAGAGTCCCTGCCTCGGGGCAGTGGTGCCAGGCAGTGCCATGCAAAATGTCCTGGGGCACCTCGTGCCCACCCAGCATCTGGCTCTGGTGCAGGGGCCAAGCCGGGCCCTGAGGTGCCACCACTGGGGCTCCCCTGTCCCCCACCAGCCGCCGTCCCCTCCAATCCAGCCCCCCTGTTAGGGCCGGAGTGGAAAGTGGCGGTGCTGGCAGGCTCAGGGGGATTCTGCCGTGGAGAGACCCCCCAGCTGCTCCTCAGGACCCCCCAGCTGCTCCTCAGGACCCCCCAGCTGCTCCTCAGGATCCCCCAGCTCGGCCTCCTCCCGGCTGCCATCCAGGGTCTCTGATCCCTCGAAGCAGCCGGAGTCCCGGGGAATGTCTCCTTTGGGCTCTGAGGGTGATGGCAGGGCCTCAGTGCTGTCACCATCCTCTGGCTCACTGGCTGCTGAGAGAGGGACCGTGGTGTCAGTGGTGCTGCCGGGGTGCCCGGTCAGGGTCCCCACCCCTCCCCAGGAGTCCCTTACTGTCGTAGTCCAGGAGGAGCTCGGCAGCCGTCAGCAGCTTGGCGCGGTGCTGGGGGTCCGTGATGTGCAGTTCGTTCAGGTGCGTCTCCCGCAGCTCCTTGAAGTCCTCCAGGGTCTGGTACCCGTTCAGCAGGAGGGTGGGGGTGTGTTCCTGGGTGGGGGGTGTGGGTAGGGGTGAGCAGGGCGTGGGTGGCTCCCCCGGTTCCTCCTGGCCCCCAGTGCTGGCCTGCAGCTTCCCCTGCAGCGGGTCCACGGTGGGCACTTGGCCCACGTTACCAAGAAATGCCCCCCGTGTGCCCTCTGTGCCCCTGGGTGCTTGGTGGAAGGAGCCACGAGGTGGGGGATAGTGAAGGGGAGAGGGGTTGGTCGCACTGCTGGTCCCATGCTGGGTGCTGAGAGGGGTTGGTCGCACTGCTGGTCCCATGCTGGGTGCTGCTGGGTGCTGGGTCCCTGGACAGCTGGGTGCTGCTGTCCCCCGCAGCCCCTGGCCCTCACCTGCAGGTTGATGCGCTCCAGCAGCTCATGGAGGGTCTTGGGCTTGAGGCGCTTGTTCCGGCCGGAGCTGCGGCTCCTGCGGGCAGGGACCGTCTCCTCAGGGATCACATCCACGTAGATGAACTTGAAGGAGCCCACCCTGTTGTGGAGCAGCCCGGTCCAGGTGCCCACAGGTGGCTTCTCGATGATGCTGATGATGTCCCCTTTCTAGGCCAAGGGACGTGGGATGGTGGGGGGCACAGGCTTGGGGACAGCCAGGGAACACCCCCAGCTCAGGGGGTCCCCAGCCACCCTCCCTCCCTCCCCAGGGCCACAGTGGCCGTGGCTTACCCGCAGCTTCAGGGAGTCCTTGTCATAGGGGCTGGGGGTGAAGTCGGTGTGGACGCGGGCCCGGCCGCAGAAGGGGCCGGTGTAGGCCGGGACGGTCTCCTCCAGCTGCTGGCTGTCCCTGGGATCGCCAGGGCTGGGAATGTCGCTGCCTGCAGAGAGGAGGGGTCAGGCAGGATATGCCCGCCTGGGGACGTGGGACCGGTGTCCCGTCGGGGCTGGCCTCACCGCTGGACATCTGGCGTCCGAGGGCTGGGCGTCCATCCTCCTCCTCCTCCAGCTCCAGGTACGACAGGGGCACCTTGTCATAGCTCTGCTCTTCCACGCTGCTGGCTGGGGACAGCGGGCATGGCCTCTCTGCCTCCGCCTCTCCCTGCTGGGGGTACCGGGCTCAGGCCGAGGGAGGGGGAGCTGTGCCCCGCTCACCTGTCCGTGTCCCCACGGCCCTGCTCACCTTGCCCTCGGCCAGCGCCCTCACAGCCATCCTGCCCATCTTGCGGTTCATGGTGCGGGAGATGACCGCCCGCCACTTCCTGCCCAGCTTGGTGCCGCCGCTCCGCGCGCCCTCCTCAGCGCTGGCACTGCTGGCATCGTCCTCGGGGATCTGCCAGAGGGATGGAGAGTGAGGGCAGAGCCCCCCACCCTGGGCAAGCCTCAACAGGGTCACACGGGGACTGTGAGATCCCAAATCCCACCAGTGCTGACACCCTGGGGCTGCTCCATGACACGTAGGCCACTGGTAAGAACAGGAGTTTTGGGAACCCAGCCCTGAAATGGGCTGTTCCCAGGGGAGCAGGATGTGTCAAGGGGTGCTGGGAACTCACATTCTCCTCCAGGTTGAACTCCTCATTTGACACGGGGGAGCTGACCTTGCACTTGTTGAAATCCTTGAAGCTGCTGGAACGCTGTAGGGAAAGCTGGGAGCAGGGGCAGAGGTGTGAGGGGGGAGATGGAATATGGGTTTCCTCCTGCATTCCCTGCCCCAGCTCCTCTCTGCTTTTTGGGCTGCTCTGCCCATCCCAGGGTAATGCCAGTGCTGGGAAGAGTTTTTTGCTCTCTTCCAGGAGCTGCCGTGTGTCATCAACCCCCCAGAACTGGGGTGTGGAGCTCTTGGTGCCTGTGCAGCTGCTTGGCACAGCATTCCCAGGGCAGGGATGCTCTAGTGTGGAGCCTGGCACTGCCATGCCGGGAGCAGCCCGGGGCTGTGCCATGATGCCACCCTGGCACATGGGCCAGGACGTGGGGGCACACAGGGCTCTGCATCTCCTCTCAGCACAGGTGGGCAGGCAGTGAAGGGCAGGTAGCACCAGAGCAGCCCTGCTGCTACCCACAGGGTCAGCTCCAGGACTGAAATCCTGGAGGATTCATCACAAATCCATGTTTTCCACCTGTGAGTGTCACCCATAGCCCAGAGAGCACAGCCCCAGCTGGCTCGGTGCCACCTCCTGCCTAAGCCATCAAAGCTGGTTTTGGATCTCAGTCCTGGTACTCCTCTCCGTCCCTTGCTCCTTTTTGTTGTTCCTGTGCCCCCTGCCTGCCTTCCCCTCCATGGCCTAAGGTGCCTGTCTCACATGGAAGGGTTTCTCCATGCCAGGAACGTCCTTGGTGCCAGCACAGCCACATGGCCCCAGGTGTCCCTCATCCCTGGATGGCAGCGCCAGCGTGCTCGCACATGGCACGGTGAGCTCAGCTGCCACTGCCAGCACTCTTGAGGCCCTCGGAGCACACACCACGGAGCTTGCTCTGCCACCACCACAACCAGGGATTCCTGTTCCCAAGCAGCTCTGCCAGCTCCTGTGGTGGCAGAGGCCTTTCCTAGCCCTGCACAGCCTGGCCCTGTGCTGTTCCCTCTTTATTCTCCTTCTCATCAGCCCCACCGAGCACCCCTGAGCACTTGGTTTTGCCGTTCCTTGCAGAGGGCTGGCTCACGGAGCCACACCCAGCTGCACACCCACTGCGGCTTCGTGCCAGCTCCAGGTGCATCTGTGCAGAGGGGATGCTGGCTTTTGCCCTGCTCCCACCCCAGTGCCCTGAATCCCCCACATCCAGGTCCACTGAACCTCGCAGGGCTTCACTGCTGAGATAAAACAGCTCTGAGACAGAAGTGCCCCGGGGCTGGAGGAGCCACGCGAGCCTGGCAGTGGGGTGTGAGTCAGGGGGGCCGGGCTGTCCCGGAGCAGGGCAGGACGGGGAAGTGAGAGTGGCTGTCACTGGGCAGGGGCAGGGGATGCCCAGTGGGACTGGCCCGGCTGGATGGGCCAGCCCCGTGCAGGGACGGGGACTTCACTTCACCCAGGTTTCCTGGTGGAGTTTGGCAGCACGGAGGAGCTGCCACGGCAGGATTTGTGCCTGTCACGGGCAGGACCCTGCCACCAGACACTGCCCCTGCTCCCCGTGGTGACTTGCTGATGCTGATGCCAGCCCAGCAAAGCTTGGCAAGAGCTGACGTGCCAGCTGGTGCGAGACCCGGCGGGGGATGAGGAGCCGGTTTTGGCCCCCGCTGGTGACTCCAGCCGCAGGGTGGCACACGCCGTGGCGCGCAGGGGGCTCTCGGGGGGCCGTGGCACGGGCAGCTGCGCTCCTGCGGCTCGCACCTCGCCGCGGGGCTGCCGGAGGAAGCGCTGCCGCTCGTGACGGAGCTGCAGCCCCGACCGCAGCACCTTGCTGCGCAAGAGCTGCACAGCCGCCACCGCAGCCACGGCCCCCAGGAAACGACAGCGGCCGCCCACGCCCGCGGAGGCCATGGCGGGGCGGGGGGCACGGCCGCCCCCAGCAGAGCTCTGGGGTCCCTGAGCTGGCACCCGTGTGGGTGCCGGGGGCTGTGCATCCCAGCCACACGTCCCAACGGGATGGAAGGCACAGTGGGAGGCGGACAAGGCCAGGACCACGCACTGGCGAGGCCACGGTGCCTGGTGGCAGCAGAGACGAACAGACGGCAGGGCAGCTGCCGTGCGACCCCAGCCCCGGGGCCCTGCCCCAGCCCTCCTGCTCAGCATCCCACGGCAGCCCCTGGCTCGGACAGCTCTGGGTGCGCCGGGACACCTGCGGGGCTGAGGGCACCTGGGCGCCGCCAGGACTCACCTTCCTGTGTCCCGGCTCCTTGTCGCCGGCGTTGGAAGGCTTGCGGCGCAGCATGGCCTGGCCGGTGGCGAGGGCTCAGCGTCCGGCAGCGGCGAGCGCGGCCCGTCCGTCCTGTCCCGTCCGTCCCGCGGCACCGGCACCGAGCCGGGAGCGCACAGGAAGCCGGCGGTCACATGAGAGGCGCTTGCAGCCGTGCTCGGGGTGGCTGGCGAGGCGCGGGCTGGGGCAGGAGGAAGGAAACCCTCCAGCAGCGAGCTGCTGCCCTGCCCGGGGCCCCTGGGTGGGGACGGTGGCTGCGCCCTGACAGCGCTCGGCCGTGCCGCCCCTCGGTGATGCTGCCCTGCCCTGCCTCCCCTCGCACTGCTGCCGCCCCTCGGCCATCTGCACGTGGGCATCGTGTGTCCCCCCGTGGAGAAAGTGACAAATCCCAACCCCTCTGCCGTGCCCACCCCCGAGCCTGCTCATCCTGCTGGGACATGGTAGCCAAGCCCTCTGCGGGACGCTTGGTCCGGGATGTCCCCCGTATCCGCAGGTCCTCCCGGCTCGGCATCACACCCAGGCGGGATGCGCTCATGGTCACCCCGCTGGGGACATCCGTGGTTGGCTGCCCTGCATCTTCTCACTCCAAATCCTCCAGCTTTTGCCCCAGAATTATAATCTGCCCCAATCCATCTCCTCACTGTCGCCGTTGGCTTGGTGGCCTCAGGGCTGGACAAGGTGGCACAAGCAAGATCTCGGGGGTGGCCGTGGGGGCCGGACTCCAGCCCTCACTGGCCGGCGAGGCAGCGCGCAGCACGTGGGGCACAGCAGGGCCCGCCTCGCTCATGTTTAATCACAGACGAGCAAATAGAATACACCAAAAAATAGGAAGTGAGGGCGGGGGAAGACCCGGCCGCGGTGGGGGTGTGGGGGAGCGGGGCCGCGGGTGCGGGATCAGGCCCCCAGCCCGCTGAGCAGCACCGAGAGCAGCGCGGCGAGGGCCAGCGAGCCCGCGGCGGCGCTGCCGGCGCTGCTCACCGGGAAGGGCTCGGTGCTCTCCTGCAGCCACACGTACTCGTCCTCCAGCCGCTGCCGCCGCAGCTCCGGCCCCACGTGTGCCCGGATCCTCTCGTAGTAGGAGTTCAGGTACCGGATCTGCAGCCGGGCACCACGGGGAGCTGCCGGGGCGTGGCCTGGGCGCCGCTCCCGCCTTTGGCCTTCCCCGTCCGGCTGCCCCGCACTCCGACCACCGGCCCCGCCTGCAGAGCTCATTGCCCCTCTTCATCCACGCTCCCGTCCTTGCTCTGTCCTCATTTACCCACTCCAGCCTCGTGCCACGGTCCTGGTTTTTCCTGCATCCACCCCCCAAGCCCCTGTGCTGACCTGGCAGCCCTGCTCACCCCGAGCACACGGCCGTACCTGCTCTGGGGACAGGAGGCTGAGGTCGATGAGGTTGCGGTCATAGGGCACCAGGGACACCACCTCGAAGGTCAGAAAAGGCTTCTCCCCGCTCTGGTGCTGCCACAGAGAGGTGTCATTGCTCGTCCCCTACCCCCTTGGCGGTGCCTCCTCCCCGACTCGATGCAGGCCCCCATGGTGTGCCACCGCTGTCACCCCCTCCCCATTGCCCCACCTCAGTCTGTGCCTCCACCACGAGGGCGACGTCCTCGATGCGGATCCCGAAGTCGCCATCCTGGTAATACCCGGGCTCTGGGGGCCGGGAACACGCCTGGTGAGCCCCAGCCCCAGCGGCTGCCCCAGCCCACCCCAGCGGGGCTGGTCTGGCCCTGAGTGGGCTGAGAGTGACAGCCCGTCCCTGGCTGGGCTCTGTGCCCGGGGCTGTCCTGCAGAGCCGGGGTGCCGGTCGGGGTGCCAGGACATACCGATGGAGGTGAACATGCCGGCCTCCAGTGGCACGTTGTTGGACTGGAAACCCACGGGCCCTGCAGGGACATGAGGTGGGTCAGAGCTCTGTGCATGGCAGGGACACCCAGCAAGGACCAAGGTGCCACACCGGAGAGAACCATGGGGCCAACACAAGGACACCCCAGCAAGGACCACAGAGCCACCAAGGCAAGGACTATGGGGCCACCATGGCAAGGACCGCTACAAGGACAAGGATCATCCCACTAAGGACCTCGGGACCACCTCAGCAAGGATCACAGGGCCACCCTGGCAAAGACCACAAGATGTTGCAAGTGGGGATTTCTCTGCCCGTCATACAGGCTCTGCTGGGAAGCCCCCAGTGAGCTCCTGTCCTCGTCCCCGTCCCCGTAGCTCAGCCCACATGCCCAGCACCAGTGCTGGTGGCACCTACACTCGTGGACTGAGAGGAAGTTGCCAATGCCATGGCCGGTGCCATGGCCATAGTTGAGTCCGACATCCCAGAGTGCCCGGCGGGCGAAGGACTCCACCGTTCTCCCTGGGGAATGAAGGGGTGACATGGAGGCCAAGGAGCCTCTGGGGCTCCCCTGTGCCATCCTGCTCCCTGTGCCAGGGGTTCTGTGCAGGGCCAATGCTGGGTTTGGCACCCACCTGCTGTGTTGGATGGGAAGACGAGGCGGGAGAGGTCAATGTTGCCCATGAGCACACGGGTGTAAGCTTCCTGTAGGGCATGGCAGGGGGTGAGTGTGGGGCTACCCAGACACCCGCCCCTGCACATCCAGCCCTGGCCAGGACCGTGATGCTGAGTGCCATAGGGAGTGCTGGGCACCTCAGGGTTGCCCTGGGCAGTGCAGGAGGATGTCGGCTGACATGGGAGGGGCTGGTACCTTCTGGAGAGGGGTGGGCTCGCCCCAGTGCACTGTGCGAGTGATGTCTGTTGTCCCATCCCTGCAAAGGGGCGTCATGAATGGGGCTGGTGCAGCCCCAGCGCTGGCTTTGGGGGCCCCTGGATATGGGCTGTGGTGGGGGGGTCTCTGTTCAAGGCTACGTACAGATACTGCCCTCCGGTGTCAAAGAGATACATCTCTCTCGCAGACAGTGTCCGGCTGCTCCCGTTCGAGGGGCTGCGAGGGGAGGGGGGTCAGAGCCCTCTCCCAGCCGCCCACTGCCCTCTGCCCCCTGCCCATTGCCCACTGCCCCCTGCCCAGTGCCCAGTGCCCCCTGCCCATTGCCCACTGCCCCCTGCCCAGTGCCCACCGCCCCCTGCCCAGTGCCCAGTGCCCCCTGCCCAGTGCCCAGTGCCCCCTGCCCATTGCCCACTGCCCCCTGCCCAGTGCCCACTGCCCCCTGCCCAGTGCCCACCGCCCCCTGCCCAGTGCCAACTGCCCCCTGCCCATTGCCCACTGCCCCCTGCCCAGTGCCCACCGCCCCCTGCCCAGTGCCCACTGCCCCTTGCCCATTGCCCACTGCCCCCTGCCCAGTTCTCACCGCCCCCTGCCCAGTGCCCACCGCTGCTCCAGCCCCACCTGTAGTGAGCCAGCGCTGCGTTGAGCCCGCTGGCTGAGATGGACTCGAAGCTGGGCCCACGGCTGTGCTCCTGCGCCCTGGAAGGCAGCAGGGAGGAAGGAGGGTGCTGAGGGTCCCCGGGTGCCCTTCCCTGGGCAGGGCAGGCCCGGGGGCAGCACTGACCAGCGAAAAGCATCGATGCGCTGAGCCCCCGAGAACTCGTCCACCCGCCCCTGCGGGACTGTCCTCTCCAGCCACAGCAGGTACTGGATGACGGCCACGGCGTCCCGGACCTGGGGTGCGCAGTGACAGCGTTGGGGAGCATCAGCGCCCTGCTCCCTCCGCTGTCCCCCCGTTCTGCAGGGGACTGTGGGGACGGGCACAGCCCTTACGTGGGCGGCTCGCAGCATCTCCTGCTCGTGGGCGTTTTTCACAGCTTTGGCCGTCATCACGGGCGAGTAGCTCTCCTCCAGCAGCTTCTCCTGCGAGGGCAGGCAGAAGGTGACACAGCTGCCTGTCCCCTCAGGCGCCAGGTGCGGCCACAACGCGGTGACGCGGGGCCGTCCCCGAGCCTGCAGGGCCCGCGTGCCCCATGGCAGGTTCGGTGCCCACCTGGGGGACGGTGGCGTAGAGGCCATAGGTGGTGTACTCGGTGCCCAGCCACACGGTGACGTTGCCCTGGGCGTAGCGGCGCAGGTGGGCGCTCACCTGCCCGTAGTCGTGCAGCTCCACGCACAGCGGCCCCGGGCAGCCCGAGCGCAGGGACTGCCGCGCCTCCTGCGAGAGCCGGGCCTGCCCCGCGAACAGGCTGGGGGGGAGCGGGCACGGGCGGGGCTGTCACCGGCTGCCTTTGGTCCCCCCAGCTCCGGCCACGCCGGCAGAGAGCAGGGACCCGGGGGGCTGTGAGGGGATGCTGGGCTGGGAACGGGAGAAACTCGGGCTGCGAGGAAAGGAGTGGGCCGTGCCCTGGAGTGGGCTGGGAGCGGGGGGCGGATTGGGAAAGGTGTGGCTCAGAAGGACCGTCAGTGGGGCTGGGCACGGCAGGATGGAGCCGCTCTGGGGATAAGGGGCCACGGGGCTGAGAGGAGGGTCCCGAGGGGGCTGGCTCAGGAAAGGAAGGCTGGAGGGGGTGCGTGGTGAGCCCCCTCCAAGCCCTGTGCCCACAGGGATGTGCTGCCCACCTTATGGTCGTGTTTGTCAGGAGGGTGTAGGAGTAGAAGACAGGGTTGTAGGGGATGTCATCTCCGCGGAGGTTGAAGAGCCCTGCCGGGAACGAGAGCTCTGCACCCGCTTGGAGCTCCCGGCCCCGGCCGTGCCCCCAGGGCCCCGTGCCTCCTTACAGGCCGTCTCCTCCAGCCCCGACAGCAGCACGGCCGTGGGGCGCCGCGCGTGCTGCTCCATGCGCTGCCGGATCCCGGCCACCTTGTCCTGCCATCTGCTCCCTGCGGGTCGGGCAAGCTCAGGGCAGGCTCAGGGCAGGGCCCGCCCCAAGCTGGGGGTGCTGTGGGTGAGCTGCGGGTCAGACCTGTGAACTCTGCTGGGAGGCTGTAGATCTCGCTGGAGGAGGGAGGGGGTCTCTGGTCACCCCACGCCTGATCAACAAGGTTGGTCTCGAGGGGGAGCAGGGTCCGGCCGGAGCCGTGCAGAGCCCGGCTGTAGCTGTTCCAGGTGTCTGAGGGGTGAGCAGCCCGCACGTTTGGGCTCCTGGTAAATTCATACCCAGGGGCTGCCCTCCGTGGGCACGGTGACCCCCAGTGTCAGCCAGCCCTACCGATGGAGAAGAGGAAGGGGTCCAAACTGACGTTCCCCTCCGCGGGAACCTCCTTCAGGATCCACGTCGCGATGGACTCGATGGAGGCTGCAGGAGAGAACTGGGTGGCACCGCGAATTTCCGCTGCGTCCCAAGCCACGCTGAGCCCAGAAGAGGCTGTGGCAGGGGCTGGGGGGGTCCCTGGGAGCGGGGGGACTCAGAAGGGCCCCATCGTGCCCCCACTGACTTGTCCTCTGCAGCTCCCAGTTGCAGTCCAGCTCCCGCTCTGCCTGGGTCCAGTAGCGGCTGTCGGTCCACAGGGCAGCCTTGTCCCGCGTCACCACAGCGGTGCCTGGCACGGGGAGGGGGCTGGGGGTCACCTCTTTGTCTGTCCCTGCAGCCGGCAGGGACTCCCAGCGGCTCTCGGGGGGTGGGACCATGCCGTGCGCACGGATCCCCAGGCGGGTGCCAGCCCCGAGCAGCCGCCCGGGGCTTTGGGGATGCCCTCACCTGCGGAGCCGGTGAAACCGGTGAGCCAGCCCAGGCGGGCGTCCCGCTCGGAGATGTACTCGCTCTGGAGCCGGGATGGAGCCGTGAGAGGTGGCTGTGGGCAGAGAGGGGGTCCCCGGGGCTGCGGGGGACTCCCACCTTACCATGTGGGCATCCGTGGAGGGCACGATGTAGGCGTGGGCGCCGTGGGTCCGCAGGATGCCCCGCAGCACGGCCAGGCGCGCCGTGGTGTTGGTGGCCGTCGGTGGCAGGTACTGGTGGCACAGAGAGACGCGCTGGCACTGGGGGGGGCCCTGTGCCCGGGGTGCCAGGGACAGGGACGGGGAGCGAGGCGGGGCTCACCGGCGGCTCCGCGGAGCAGTCGCGGATGTCGCTCCTGGTGGAAGGAGCCCGTGGCGCCCGCCCTGCAGCACAGCCTGTGGACACGGCAGCACCCGGGAACCTCGGGCTGCAGCCTGGGGGCTTGCTGGACCTGTGCTCCCGCCCGGAACTGCAGCAGGCAGCTGTGACCTCGTCCCCAGCCCCAAACCAGCCAGCCGAGCTTGGGGCCTTTTACAAAACCCAGTGGTTTTAGCCCCAGGAATAGTGGATGAAAAGCAAGGCCATCCCCTTGTTCAAGAGGAGGTAAATCTCCCGGTGCCTGTGGGGTCATCACAGAGAGCAGCTGGTGCCCAGCACAGAGCACGGAGGGGCTGGCAGGAGCATCCCACACTGGGGCTGCAGAAGGAGCTGGCTGATGGTGGGGCCGTGTCCAGCTGGACCTGACCTCTGCCCAGGGCTCTTGGCACGGGGTTCCACCGCCACTCCCTGGGCTCTCCATCACCAGCTGGCACCTGGCCTCTCACTTTGGGCCAAGGGCACACAGCTTGGCTCCGCGGGACAATGCATGATGGGGTCATCCTCAGCACGAGAGCTCTTGGGTAGCAGGTGTCTGCACGCTGGGGGTCTGCTCTTACCTGTCACCCGCCCCGGGCCCATCCCTGAGGCAGCTGGGCAGGGTGAGCCCCGTGACACAGTCTGGCTCCTACCCCGGGGTGCACCCACCTCTGCCTCACCCAGAGCTGCGGCTGGGACATCCCACGTCCCCCACATCTGGATCCTGGGGGTCCCCAGCTGTGCCGTCCCACCCCAGCGCCCCTCCTCCCTCTGCCGTACCGTGGAGCAGGAGCGCCCAGGCTGCGATCCAGAGCGGGGGGGACATGGCTGCCCTGGCCGGGAGCGACGGGGCACCGAGGGGACACTGAGAGCGACAGGTCCCTCCTCCTGTGCCTTTGCCCCGGAGGCAGAGGGATGCGGGATGGGAGGGACGAGGCCTCAGCAGACACAGGGTGCGGGGAGCAGGGTTGTTGCCCCTTTGTAAAGTGAATTCTGCTGCTAAATAACAGTAAACAGCAAAATCAGCACAAAGTCCAAAGATCCTGCAGGAGCAGAAGTGGGAGCGTGCCAGCTGAGTCTGGCACCACCTGATGGCCAGGGAGAGGTCAGGGAAAGGCTTTGCTTCCTGAGGAACCCCTGTGTTTTGGGTCTGTGGAGAGCTGGCAGGGGATCTCTGGGGTGAGGGCCAGATGCTCCCCAAGCCAACCAGCCCTCTCCTCCCGCACAGGACATGCAGCCACGCAGGTGGGCACCAGCCCTGCTCAGTGCCCGGGACCAGCAGCTCTGCTGAGGCTGCACAGGGCCCTGTGCTCCTCACGAGGATCCTGCTGGGATGTGCCCTTTGTCCCTCCAGGCCCATCAGCTCTGCACTTTCATGCATCTGCCATGCTAAAACCTCATTATCTTCATCATAAGGAGCCTTGACCCCGAGGCTGTCACTGTGATTGCACAGGTACTTCCTTTAATGACTCTGCTTGTGGAGAGAAGGGCTGGGAGAGGGGCAGACCTGCTGCCACGGGCACTGGAGGTGTCCAGGGATGGACACAGATCTCCAGGGGTGAATGCACATCCCCACCCAGGACAGGTCACGGAGTCACAGATTGGTTGGGTCTGGAAAGGACATTAGAGATCCTCTCGGTTTGCCCCCCCTGCCATGGGCAGGAGCAGCTCCCTCTATTCCAGGTGGCTCCAAGCCCCTTCCAGCCTGGCCTTGGGCACTGCCAGGGATGGGGCAGCCACAGCTGCTCTGGGCAACCTCTGCCAGGGCCTCCCCACCCTCACAGGGAAGATTTTCCTCCCTCTGTCTAATCCACACCAACACTCTTTAATTTAAATCCACCCTGCCTTGATCTGTTGTAATGAGCCCTGCCAAAACATTTGTCCTCACAGATTGATGTCCCCACCCTCCCAGAGCACTTCCTACAGGATCACTGCTCATCACAGCCCGTGAGGATCTTTGGGATGTGACCCCCTCTGCCTGGGCCTGGGGTCCCTGCACCCCAGCTGCCACAGGCTCAGCTCAGGCTGGACAAAGCTGGATCCGTGTGGGGACCACGACCCCTCGGAGCTGCTGCCTCTTCCCAGTGGCACTTCCTGGCCTGTTGGGCACACAGGTGCTTAGCCCGCCCTTGCAGTGACTGTCTGGCTGTGTCACACACTGGCTGTGTCACTGAACTGTCCCGCTGTGTCCCCTCACTGTGCAGTGTGTCCACGCCTGCCTGCCCAGCAGTGTCACCATTCCAATGGCCGTGACACCGCTCCGCCTGTCCAGCTGTGGCACCGGGACCCTGCTCACCACGAGGTGGCACCAGGACTGCGCCGAGGAGCCGCAGACCGCTGCCCGTGTCCCACTGTCCTGTTCCGTGTCCCACTGTCCTGTTCCTAACCTGCAGCTCCGGGGGGACCCCGGCCATCTGCTCCCTGCGGCTGAGCCCTGACCGCTCATGTCAGAATCTCTCGGGCTGTGTCTGGCATCACCCGCTGGTCCCCGCTCTGTGAGAGGAACCCAGGAAGGGACAGGGCGGGGTCCCCATCAGGGGCAAGACAGGGACAGGTGGGAGAGGACACCAAAGCTGCTGTGATTGCTACGCAGTTTCCCAAGGATGCCCTGGGGACAGTCAGACGGCACTTCGCTGCCATCCTGTTCATTAGCGAGAGGCGTTCATGGGGTTTCGTCTCCCTGCCTGGTTCCTGCCGGGGCCGGGGGTGGGGGCTGCCCCCATCACCCCAGCACTGCTGCATCCCCGGGGGTCCCACGGCCAGGCCCCCTCCCCCTTTATTCCTGCCCTTTGAGCTGCACCCTGCGGTGCCCTCACACCCGGCGCCATTCCCGGTGCCATCCCCCGGTGCCATCACCCCCTCCCGGCCCAGCCCGGGTGCCACGGGGGGTCCCCGGGGTCCCCAGGGCCGCGTGTCGCTCCGAGCCAGCGTCAACCGGACGAAGCTCCTTGGCTGCCGTGCGTCCGGTGGGGCCCGTCCCTCCCGCGGGAGGTTTCCTCGAAGACGAGCCGGAGGAAGGCTTTGGGGGGACATCCTCCCTTTGTGGGCTATTGTTGGCCTTCCGTCACCTGCAGGGCCGCGGGTGACTCAGGCCGGGGGGACCGCCCGGCAAACAGGACGCGGGGCGGGCGTGCGGCCGCAGGAATGCGGAAGGCGGCGGTGGCACCGGGGCCGTGCCAGGATCCCTGAGGTGCCCTGGCAGGCGGGGTGTGCCAGTGACGCCTGCCCAGGGACGGGCTGGGGCTCCTCCCTGCGCCGCCGAGCTGGGCAGCCGCGGATGAGGCCGCAGCTCCCGCTCCCCCTGAAGAAGCCCCCCCGCTTTGGGGGGTGCATAGCACTGGAGGGGAGCGCTGGCCCCACATTGCGGGGGCGGCAGGAGAACCTGGCTGGGGCCAGAGGCTGCAGCCAGCAGGGCTGGAACAGGTTCAGAGCGTGTGCCCCTCCTGTGGTAGCACAGACGTGTGGGGTGTGACACGTTACCCACACACCGGGTACAGCCCCTCCACACATCCCCCTCCTCCTGCAGCCCCTCCCTGAGCGCTCCCTCACAGCCCAGCGCAGTCAGCAGCCCCTCCTGCAGCCCCCCGTACCCCCACACCCCACACAGCTCCTCCTGCAGCCCCCCCGTGCCTCCCTTTGCCCCCACACCCTGCCTGGGCCTCCCCCGGCTGGCAGGGCTCCCTCGGGTGCAGTTGTAGTTGTGATCCACCTTTCTGAGGGCTGGTGACCCCACCTTTGTGGGGGCTCACCCTGGCCAGGTGCCCCCAAAGCTGCTGCATCACTCCCTCTTCAACTCAGCAGGGAGGGAAAATGCAAGGAGGAGATCGAGCGAAGGACCAGTACATCACCAGATGCAGGCATGGGTAAAATAGACTAAATTTGGGGAAATTTATGGAATTTCATAAAATAATGGAATAATGCAATGGTCTGGGCTGGAAGGGAGGGACCTTAAAGCCCATCTTGTTACAAGCTCCTGCCATGGCAGGGACACCTTCCACTATCCCAAGCTGCTCCAAGCCCCATCCAACCTGGCCTTGGACACTTCCAGGAATCCAGGGGCAGCCCCAGCTTCTCTGGGCACCTGTGCCAGGGCCTGCCCACCCTCACAGCCAAGAATTTCTTCCTAATATCTGATCTAAATCTCCCCTTTTATATATTTATCACCAATCAAACCAGAGCAGGGTAATGAGAAAAAAACCCAAACCTTAACCTCTTTTCCCATCTCTCCCTTCCTCCTGGGCTCAAAAAAAGTCGTTCCTGATTTCTCTCCCTTATCCCCTCTGCAATGGTGGCTGTGGCAGTTCACCAGACCCCTCTGCAGACGCTGCCTGCCTGGGGGGCTGGAGGGGACAGTGAGCAGGCAGGACAGGCCCCTGCCTCCGTGGGTGCTGGGGAACAGGGGCACTGGGAGGGGCTGCGTGAGCCAGGAGGGTCCCAGAATCTGAGGATCATGCTGGGAGAGGGGTCCCAGGACTAGGGTGGAAGGGGACATGCTGTGTCCAGGCTGTGCAGGGGTCCCAAGCCAAGCTGGCCGCAGTGTTAGGGTCTGGGGGCCATTCTGGGTTTGGGGTCCCAGCACCATCCGGGGTAGGGAGTCCTGGACCAGGCTGGGCTGGGAGCGGATCCCGTATTCGGGCTGGGGCGCTCTCAGAGCACTGGGGGCGCCATGAGGGCACTGTGGGCGGAGAATGCCCCGGAGGATGCAGCGGGAGGGGATCGGGCAGCAAACCGGGACCGGGGGAAGCCCGCGGAGGTGTCCCGGGGCGGGGCGGGGCAGGGCGGGGGGCGGACGCCTCCCCCCATCCCGGGGCCAGATGACGGGAGGCGGCGGGGCCGGGCCGGGCTCTCACCGCCTACAAATGCGGCTCCCCCGGCGGCCGCCCCGCCGCCCCCCGCCGCCCCCCGCCATGGCCGCGCCGCGCCGGCTCCTGGCCCCGCTGCTGCTGCTGCTGCTGCTCGGGCTCGTCCTGGCCGCCCCCGGTGAGAGCCGAACACCCGCGGGGACCCCACGCCGGCAGCAGGGCGTGAAGGGAGGGAGCGAGGAAAGAGAGAACCGAGGGGACCGCGCCGGGGTGGCCGCGGGTCGAGGGGCTCGGGGGAACCGGCACCCCGCCCGCACCGCCGGGATCCGCCGCCGCTGGGCTGGGGAAAGACAAAGCGCTTTCTTTGGAGCCAAAACCCTGCCGGTGCCCGTGCAGAGCGGGAGCGTCCGGAGCCGCGGTGACAGCCCCGGGCATCGCCGGGTCCCGCAGCCGGACCCACGCGGGGCCCCGCCTGCCAAGCGAGCCCGCGGGGCTGCCGGGACAGCAGCTGCGGCCAAAGCATCCCCGCCAGGCACCCGGGGTAGCGGGACCTGGAAGTCCTCAGGGAGCAAAGCATCCCGGCCAGGGGCTGCAGGGCCCCGAGGGAATGGAACCACTGGAGCACCAGCACCAGGCACGACGGGGATACGGAACCGGCTCGGGGTGAAGGGCTGAGTGTCTCGGTGGCACAGAGAGGAGGGTGGCTGTGGGGAGGGCTGGGGCCGAAAGCAGAGGCTGAGCAGCCCCATGCCCCGCTGCTGGCCATGTTTGGCACAGGTGGCCGGGCCGTGCCGGCACAGGAAGCGCTTGGCACTGATGGCTCTCGTTGGGGACAATGCAGAAAACCGGCCGGCGCAGGGCCAGGCAGCCGCACGGTAGTGCTGTCCCTGTGCTGCGTGCGGGGACACGTGGCTGACGCTGTTCCTCATCTCCTCAGGGCCGCTGGCGAAGGCGCCGGACGGGAAGGATGCCCAGGGCGGCCTGGCCCGGAGGCTGCTGCGGCCGCGGGGGGCACGGCGCGGGCCCGGCCTGCGGCCCGGGGCCTGGCGCAGGACCCGGCGGCCCCGGCCCCGGCTCAACCACAAGGGCCCCATGCCGTTCTGAGCCAGGTGAGGTGCAGGGGGGCACGGGAGTGCGGGGAAACGCGGGACGGTGCCGTGAGGGAACTCATTAACTTGGGCTTGCTCTCGTTGCAGGGCTGCCACCGGCCTTCCACGGACACGGCTTCCATCGCTCGCACCGTGTTCTCGCCTGATCCGCTCATCCTCCGGCCCGGAGCCTGGGGCTCCCCCTGTAAGCCCTGGGCCGGCCCCACCTTCTCCCGGCGGCTGGCCCTGGTGGCCCCGGTGCCATGTCTGGCGCCGTGGGTGCGTTCTGCCCCTCCTCACTGCCTCGCAGGGCCGGCTGGGTCGGGGCTGCCCACAGAGGGGCCAGGGTTGCCACGATGCCCTGTCCCGGTGGGCACGGAACTGGCTCGGGCATTGGCCCGCTGGGACCACAGGCTTTGTGCAAAGCACTTTGTCAGGCAGAGCAGCTTCTCCTCAGGGGTGTGTGATCTCCCTTGGGGTCCTGCCCCAGCCCTGTCTGTCACCCCCATCCCAGGGGGAGCACACAGCTTGTCCTGGGTCTATTTATTCCCATGGTGCTCATCCCACACCCTGGTGAGTTGCCCTCCCTTTCCCGCTGGCAGACTCACCTCGTGGTGGAGTGGGGTGCCCACCCAGGACACGCTGTGGGGCCCTGGGCCCCTCTGCTTCATGCCATGGGACAGTAGCAATGGGGGGGTACTGGGGTCTCTGTCAAGCTCTGCCACACACCAAAGGAGGGGCCCTGGCTCTGAGCTGGTCCCTGCTGATTGTCTCTTGTGTCTGTAGAGATTTATTCCATGTAAATACATCTTTATAATAAAGAGTTATGATTATTAACTCAGTAAATGCTGATTTCTGGAAGGGCAGGTGGAGGTTGCTCTCCTGCTGGAGGGGAGGGATCTCAGGTCCCTCTGCTGCCTCCTGGGGCTGTCTATAGGCACTGGGGGTCATGGCTGGGGCCATGGCAGCCCCTTTCCCAGCTCAGTGATGGCAAAGTGCTCAGCAAGGAGTGAAGCCATGTGCTGAGCCTGTGGAATTGGCAAGGAGGGTGGGAAAACAGAGGTCAGAGGGGCTGGGAGATGGAGGAGGGCATGCTGGAAGGGCACAGGGATGCTGGTCTTCCTGGGCATCCCTGTCCCTTGTGTTTCAGTCACTGCTATCCCTGGCATCCCTGGTTCTGGTGTGCCTATCCCTGGTATCCCTGGCATTCCTCCCCTTCATGATCCCACCCCACGGGGCTGGGTGTGAGCAGGACCCATATGGGGGGTAGGGGGGTCAAAGGGATGGGGACTGAGGGTCCCAGTAGGACCCTGCAGATGGAGAGGAGGAGCTGAGCCCTGCAAAGGGATGGGACCCACGGGACAGGACATCCCCAGCTGAGCCCTGCAATGGGATGGGACCCCAAGGGACAGGACACCCCCAGCTGAGCCCTGCAAAGGGATGGGACCCACGGGACAGGGCACCCCCACCTGAGCCCTGCAAAGGGATGGGACCCACGGGACAGAGCACCCCCAGCCGTGGCTGGGACGCTGGGAGAGGGGGTGCCCTCTCCAAAGCCCTGACTGTTTGCAGGGGGCTGCCCACGTCCCGGCACGGGGCTGCGGGTGGGGGTCGGCAGTGCGGCGGGGAGGGGGTTAAGGGGCTGAGGAGGAGCGGAAGGGCTGCAGCTGCGGGCTGGGGAAGCTCCGGGACCCAGCTGGCCTCCATGAGCTCATCCGCCGGGAGCGGGAGGGATGCGCTGCCCGGCCCCGCGCCAGCCGCCGCGCCCGCCGCACGATCCGTGACCGCCGCCGGCCGCGGGGCCCTGCGAGCCACGGCTGCCCCAGTGCCAGCTGCCCCGAGAGACCCTGCCACCCCCACCCCCACGCGGCTTCACGGCCACCCCACGAGTTACTGCCAGTGCCCCCAGGATGGGCTGGGCGGGTGGGCGAGGGTCGCCTGCCCAGGGCCCAGTCCTGTCCTGGGGCAGGACATGGTGCCCCAGGCACAGCCCCCCCCAGCTGCCCCCAGCTCCAGCTCTGGGATGTTGGGGGGTTATTGTTCCTCCACTGCCAGCCTACAGTGCTGCTGCTACTGGTTTGAACTGGGAGGGCTCTCCCCCTGCACTTCAAATTGCCCCTCCATGCCCGTGCTCTGCCTCCCCAGCTGCAGCACTGGTACCTTGCCCAAGAGATGTGGTGAGCTCCCTGCCTGGGCACGGGCAGGACTGGCAGCGGGGGGCCCAGCAGACCCTTGGAAGAACTGCTGTGGCCATGGCAGCAAGGCAGAGATGTCCCATGTCCCCCAGGCATTGCCCAGCCCCAAGTGCTTGGGCTGCAGCCAGGGGCGGCACAGCTGGGCCCTGACCCCAGCCCTCCTGCACCAGCCTGAAAGGAGGAGGCCAGGGAGCACCTCCTGGCTGGGCTCTGGCCAGCCTGGAAGGAGGAAAAGGCTTCTGGGCCGGGAGACCTAAGGAATCTCTGGCTCTTCCTGGCCTGGCTGGCTGCCCACAGGCAGGTGGGAGCTGCTGAGCTCGGCCACGCTCCCTGTGCCTCGTGTGCCACGGCACTGCCAGAGCTCCTGTACTGCAACAGGAGGGGGGCAGAGTGGGCAGTGGGCACAGGGGCAGTGCTGGGGACACGGGCAGAGGCACGGGGCAGTCCTGTCCCACCTGCTGTGCAAGCAGGGTCTGTCCTGGCAGGGCAAAGACGGGCTCTGCCAGGTCGCAGCTCACTGAGCGAGAAAAGAGGGATGCCAGGGGCACAGGGAGAGAGAGCGCTGAGCCCTGTGGTCCTTGGGGACCTCTGGATGTCCCCAGGGGGGACAGGAGAGCTCACTGCCCACCTAGGGCTGGCAAGGGATGTTCAGTGTGGCTGTGGGACAGCATCAGCTCCTCCAGCACCACCACCTGGGTACCACCAGCATCCCCCAGTGCCCATGTTCATGGTGGGCTGATGCATGAGTGAGACCCCCGGAGCTGCACCCCAACAGCCTCCAGGGTCCCCCACAAGGATCCCTGCACCCTCCTGAGGAGGAGGACGGGCAGGCCCAGGCTCTGTCCCATCCCCAGGGAGCATAAGAGCTTCCCTCTCGCTCCGGCATTTCCGCCGGCAGTGGCAGGAATGCGGTGGCCGCGGGAACAATGCCGGCACCTAGCGCTGGTCACCTCGGTGACAGCACGGGAGCAGCTGCCAGGCACAGCCCTGCTCCCAAGGAGCCGGCAGGAAGCAGATGGAGATGACACCGGCCGCCATTTCCTGCAGCAGGACGTGCGGCTTTCTCCAGCACGCTGCCCTGGCTGGCCCAGCAGGGCCTTGGGCACACAGGCATCGCTGCTCTGGGCTGCCAAAGCCCTGTGCCACACACGGGCACCAGCACCCTGCTGCCCCCGGCCGGACCCAGTGCCACCTCCACCCTGGAGGGGCACATGCCACTACCCACTGTGGGATGGGCACTGGGCTGCAGTGCCAGCACATCAGGGGCGCACCCAGGAGCTCAACCAGCAGGAACCAGCGGCATGGGACCTTCTGCCACTGTCTCCAGCTGTGCCCAGCACACTCCTGAACTGGCTGGGAGAGAGCCCAGCCCTCAGCTGTCCCCAGAGTGAGCCTGGAGCTCCAGGCAGGGCTCTATGACAGTGCAGAAGTGCATGAGGAAGGGCAGGTGTGCCCTGCACAGCCCCCAGGCCTTGCACAATGAAGGTTTATTTGGAACGAACAGTTTCCCAATAAATTATGTAATTTAAAAATTTTAAGGATAAGAAAAAGGCAAAAGGGAGGGGAGCCTGCAGCAGCTCGGCCAGTGCATGGGGACCACAGGGCCACACGATACCCTGGGCCGAGCCCAGGCACCAGTGGGGGCTCTGTGACCACAACCTCCTCCCCTTGGCTTTGGCCTCCCTCACCTGAGGCCACATGGCCCCACAGGCCTTAGTGTTTCAGTGGGACAGGCCACTCTTGCACCCTCAGTCACCAGCCCCAGGACTGTCTCCTCAGCCAGCTGTGTGACCCTTGCACAGCAGCTCCCATGCACAGCCCCCCAGCTGCTTCTCTGGCCCCTGAGGAGCATTTGTGGCTCCTTTCACTCCCTCAAAACCCACAACCTCTGCTAGCACCCCAGGAAGGAGACAATGGACTCCATCTAGAGGCACCTGGTGACCCAGCCTGTCCTACCTCCACACTGTGGGCTGGGTGAGAGGGACAGGGGTCCCATCCTGCTCCAAATGCACAGGGCAGCCCAGGAGGAGCAGAGGGCAGCTCATGGCTCTACCTGACCCTGGTCACTGCGAGCCACCCACCATCCTGTGTCCTTGGGGGAAGCTGGGACAGGGAAGGGAGAGGAAAGTGAGGGCAGAGTGGGGGGTGCAGGGACAGACTTGTGTGCTGGGGCCCTGTGTCCTGGGAGGGAGGGGAGAGGGGAAAGGCCATGCTGAAGGGGAGAGGCCAAATGTCCAAACAACCTTCCTGGGTCAGCACGGTCCATAGCACAGTGATGGCATCGGGGCTGGCACGGCTGTGTGGCAGAGGGTGGCACACGTCCCACAGCAGTCTGGGGTGACGTACACACCAGCACACATACCTGGCACTGGAGGGACGCAGAGTGCCACGGCCTCCAAGAGCACCAGCCATCCCCACCTTCCTCTACAGCAGCTCTTGGGAGATGGAGGTGACACAGAGAGAAGCGTGACCTGGCAACTGGTGATACTGCCACGGGACGATGGGTGCTGGCACAGTGCTCGGGTATCGACAGATCCACCTGGCTCCCAGGGGAAGCTGGAGGCTCCAGAGGTGGATGGCAGTGCAATGAGCGTGCAGGTCCTCTGCAGCGTGGGGCATGGCGTGGCAAGGAGGGGGAACTGTCCCTTCCCACTGTAAACACGGCACTTGGAGAGCTTCGAGCCTTTACCCCTCGCGGCTGTCAGAGGCCCGGCCGGAGCGCGGGCCCGCCTTTGGCACACGGCACGAGTCACTCCTCGTCCCCGCTGAGCAGGAAGCTGTAGAGGAAGTTGATGGCACGCTGGCGGTCCTGCTGGCTCTG